TTATAGAAACAATTTATAGAAATGAATCTCCCAAATGTATTATTATATTATTTAATTAGTTGATTAATTGATTAAGTTTAATATTTTTTTTAAGCGCATAAAAGAAAAAAAATATTCGATATTTTATTTTAAACAACAATTGGAACTCAATAATTCAAGCGTGTAAATATTACTTAATCCAAACGAATGAGAGACGTAATATCACGATAACAAATTAATAACACTAAAATTCATAATTCAACAACATGGAATGACAATAAAACATAATAAAATTAATAAAACAATAAATATATTAGAAATAATCACCTTCAAGGACATGGAAGAACAATGAAATCCATAATATAAATATATTAGAAATAATATTGATATTACTAATGAAAATATTTACCTGTTCATCATGAAACAGTATATGGAATGCGTTCCAGCTCTCCCGTTCGTGATGCGTTTCAATTATTCGGACTGCTTTCAATCGCAAATAAGGTTTGTTTGTCCTATTCACGGAATCGAGTGTATCACAGACCGGCGACATTATATTATCGATGTATTCTAAAATTTATCTATATATTTTTTTTTCTCTGAACACTGTGAATATAGTGAAGAAATAATCGTGGTAGTGAATATCCTTTTATACAAATTGTTGTTTAGCACGTTGTACCGAAAAGAGTGATTGATGAAAATTATTTAAATGGAAAGATATTGTTAAGATTTTATCATATAAATGATTTATATGGAGCATTGAAAGAGGAAATTTATATGAAGAATTAAAAAGAGGAGATTTATTCCATAGTATCTGCAATTAATGCTTGTTGTTTTGTTAATAGAGCCACAAAAAATCAGAAATCTTGGCGTGAAAAAATAATTTATTCCATAAATAATTAATGTTAATCTGGAATAAATAAGAGCAATTTTAAGAAATTATGTGCAATTAATGCTCGTTATTTTGTTAATGGAGCCACAAAATGATTTGTTCCATAAATAAAAATCGGAAATAATGGCGTAAATGATTTATTCCATAAAAAGTTTTATTCCATAAAAAATAATGTTAATCAGAAATAATTAAGAGCAATTTTAAAAAATTATGTTAATTTACTATTTTTAGGCTATAATTAATGAATTTGGCGGGAAATAGTTTCTAAAATTGAATTAAGTTAATCCTTATTATATATTAATAGATTATTATTTATTTATATTTCTTCTTAAAATGTGAAATTTCTATATAAAAGTATATACATTTAAGAATATAGTTTTTAACGGTTAACCAAAGAACAATTTCATGTGTAATAAATAAAGTAATAGTAGAATTCTATTAAGAAGTAAATTGAATATTTTGAATTAAAACAAAAGGCAAAAATCTTAATTTAAATGTACCTCAACAACAAAAGGCATATATGAACTTGCAAGTTCCAACCATTTTAAACCCGGCATCGGATCGACCCGATTAGGTCTTTAGAGGATCAACTGGTAAATCGAATAATTAATTTTATAAATATTAAAATTTTATATATAGATTTTTATATTTTATAAATATACATAACAGAAACAAAAATAAATATTTGGTATATAAATTTTATACATCAAAGTATTAGTAATATTATATCTAATAATAAATATTTACTACATAAATATATATATACATAATTTTTATTTTTAAAATATAGAATACTTAAAAAATAAAGAAATAAATAATTATTGTGATCGGGTCAAACTTGGTTGACCCAACCGGGTTAATATATGAGTCGACCTGGTGAAAATCGGGCTAGACTGAATTTTAACCAGGTTTGTTGTTACTCGGTCTAAAACAGCCACCCGAAACGATCCCAGCTTCAAACCAATCCATCGAGCCGGTCGGATTGAAAAACACTTCTTGCAACTATTGTCACAAGAGGTCTACCATTTTTCAAATAAACTAAATTAAGTCAAATATTTGTATGTATGGAGAAACCAAATATTATTAAATATGAAACAAGACAAAACCAAACGTGTAAACCGAGAGTGTTCCCATCATGAGAACTTGAAAATTTTCTTTTGATTGACATTTGATCTCGTGTATTAAAAAGTCCAAAGGCACACAAGTTTGACACACATATTATATAATGGAGGGTTCATACTTGACCTTGTCAATAATACATCGTACATGTTCTTTGTTAATTTCCATACTAATTTAGATCATATTAATTTCTATATTAAGGACATCTCCAATGGTTCAATATCTATTTTAAGATGAATGGTGCATTGAAAGAGAATAAAAATATTTGTCTTCAATGGTTAATGTCAACTGTGTTGGGAAAAATACGCTGAATTTCTCATAAAGTCGGATTTATAAAAGTGAAATAAAAAAGTTGGACACACCAAATTGATAATGGAGTTCGGCCAATAATGTCTACGTCTCCGGACTACTGCAGATACTTTATAGAAGAAAAGAAATACACTCGTACTTACAAAACACTCTCAAACTCACTCACAACTCATCACTCAAATAGACACAAAAGCTAAAATTCTTACTTCTTGCTCACACTTTTTTTCTCTATCTTTTCTCTCTCTTTTTGGATGTTGCTCTTGGTGTGTTGTATCTAATGCCCTCATTTGCTCTCTATTTATAGATGCAAAAATGGATCAAATTTCAAAGAAAGCATGCTACTCCATTTTCAACATTGGTTGGCTTCTTGGTGGCTGCTACATTTTCTACATTGGTGGCTTCTTTTCAACAATCTCCCACTTGAGGACTGATTTTAATTTGTCCTCACACCTCAATTACTACAGTAGTCTTCTCGGTCTGTTATTTTAGCAGACCAACTGAAGTTGAGCATAACTTCAGTTTGTCAATGGTCACCACCTTCGTTAGCATATCTGTTGGGTTCTTGCTTTCTACAATCTTCTTCAAAGTCAACACTTCATCCTCAAGAAGAGATCTGATGAAATGATATCGTATGTCATTGTGCTTAGTTCTAGAGTGAAACACTGAGTTCTTTGTCAGATGTATTGCACTCTGACTATCACTGTGCAAGACACTTCCTTTTTGAGTGAAACTCAACTCTGCTAACAATTCTTAAAACCATATCAATTATTTACTGGCTTCTGTCATTGCTACATACTACCTCTGTAGTGGATAACGCAACAATTTTTTGTATCCGCGACATCCAACTAAAAGTTGTCGCTCCGACAGTGAAAACATAACCGGTGGTGATTCTTCGGTTATCAACTTCACCTCTAAAGTCAGCATCTACATAGCCCTGTAACTTTACATCTTCTTTCGGTGCCTCGTAGATATCTCAAAATCTATTTGACTGCTTCTCAATGATCTTTTTCTGGATTTGACATAAACCTGCTAACAACTTCCACTGCATGGCCAATGTCTGGCCTCGTACAGACCATCGCGTACATCAAACATCCCATGGCTGAAGCATAAGGAATTCTAGCCATAAACTCTTATTCTTCCTTTGTTTGAGGAGACTGATCCTTGGATAGACGTAAATGGTTGGCCAAAGGTGTACTGACTAGTTTAGCCTTATCCATGTTAAATCTCTGCAAAACACGGTTGATGTACTCTGTCTAAAATAACTGCAAAACTCTCTTTTGCTTACCTCTCGTGATTTGCATTCCAAGAATCTTCTTTGCTGGGCCTAAGTCCTTCATGTCAAATTCTTTTGACAACTGCATCTTTAAATTTCTGACGTCTTTCATATTTGATCCTGCATTAACATGTCATCGGCATAAAGTAGCAATATGATATAGCTGGACTTATATTTCTTGAAGAAACAATAGTGATCAGCATTGCACTTCTGGAAACCTTCATTGTACATGAAGCTTTCAAACTTCTTGTACCACTGTCTTGGAGCTTGTTTTAGGCCGTACAAGCTCCTTTTCAATTTGCACACCATATCATTTTTTCCTTCTGAAAAACCTTCAGACCGGTGCATATAGATCTCTTCATCTAGGTCTCTGTGAAGAAATGTAGTCTTCATGTCTAGTTGCTCTAGGTAGAGCTCTTCACTAGCCACAATACTTAACATAGTCCTGATAGTATTGAGCTTTACAACTCGAGAAAAGACTTCAGTATAGTCAACTCCTTCTTTCTGCAGAAATACTTTGACAATCAGTCGGGCTTTGTATCTTTTGGAACCATTAAGGTCTTTCTTCACCTGATATACCCATTTGTTGTGAAGTGCTTTCTTTCCCATAGGTAACTTGACTAGTTCTCATGTCTGATTTGAGATCAAAGACCTCATCTCGTCCTTCATGGCAAGCTCTCACTTGCTAGCATCTGGGATTTGACAAGACTCCATATAACCTTCAGGTTCTCCTTCATCAGTCAACAACATGTAGCCCATGTATCTCCTGTTAGACACATGGGGCCGAGAGGACCTTCTAAATATAGGATTTGGAGTAGAAGGTTCTGATTGCTCATCGTTTTCTTCATTTGATTCTTCTAACCGAGGATTTCTTATTATAGGAATGTCTGGGATATCTTCCACCTCTGCATAAATTGGCCCACTCGCTTCTGAGTTGTTCGCATTTGTGTTTTGTCGGTCCTTGTACATCACTCTTTCATTAAAGATGATATCTCTGCTGCGGATCATCTTTTTGTTTTCATCATCCCATAAGCGATAACCAAACTCATCTTCACCATAACCAAGGAAAGTACACTTCTTTGATTTTGGATCAAGTTTGTTTCTACCTTAATCACTGATATGCACATATGGTACACACCCGAAAACTCTAAGATGCGGGAGTTTTACTTCTTTTCCGCTCCATACCTCTTCTGGTAACTTGTGATCTAATGGTACCGATGGACTTCGGTTGATCAAGCAAGTTGTTGTGTTGACTAGTTCTACCTAGAACTGTTTCAGTAGGCCTGACTGCACATGCAAGCTTCTGGTCTTTTCAGTCAACATTCGATTCATACGCTCAGCTACACCATTGTGTTGAGGCGTACCAGGCATGGTTCTCTTCGTTCTGATTCCGTGCTCATAGCAAAACTTCTTGAATCTGGTGGTTATATACATTCGTACAATGCAACCGAGAAAAGAGTTAGCCAACTTCCAATTTTCTTTTTTCTTTTCCTTAGAATTTTGAAAGGAAACGAGTCGTTCATAAATTTGACTTGTTTGATAAACAAACCGAGTTCGAGATCGTGAAAGCTTGTTTATTTTATATACCGGGCACGACTCGATTAGCCTAGGAAAGAAAAAATTAGATATTATTTTCCAAAGTTTGGCTTATTAATGCTCGAGTTAGACTTGTTCATATTGATAAAAAGTCGAGGTCGTGCTCGTATAGTTATGAGCTTGAGTACCATGAACTCGAGCTCGATTGTATAGCCAGTTGTGTTCATATTTATGTTAAGATCGAAACAATCGAAATACCGAGAAGAATATGAATTACGATTTTGTTTTTATGTTGGTTTAGTTATCAATATTTATTTTTGAAATTTAGTTAGCTTGGTTCGTTTTTGCTTTTATTTATAAAATATTTGCATTAACTAACCAGAATTATGTAAATATTATTATATTTCTCTTTTTTTTAAAAAAAATAATATAAAAAAATTAAATAAAAATATTAAAAAAAATTAAAGGTGTCTATTTCTAATATTATTTTGGTTATTTGTAGTTTGGTTGACCAATAGAATTAATTAAAAAATTATTTTGGTTTTGTTTTAATCTAATTTTAGACAAATTTTGTATGTTCCATTTGTTTTTTTTTTTTTTTTCAAAACGATAGAGGTATTATATAAAAGCGCACAAATGTGCAAAAGAACTACCACTACCTGAATACAACAGCAAACGGCTGAATAGACTGAGAGAACAGGTCAAAAGACCGTCTAGAGCCGACACCAACAGGGTAATACCGTAAAATCACAACAGACTACAGACACTAAAAGCTCCCAAGAGGAGAATGAGAAAGAAGCGACCCCAACAGGGTAATACCCACAATCACTCGGGCACATACAGAGGGCAACGGCCTAAACCAAAAATAAAACACCTAACAACACAAGCAAATAAAGAAAGAACACACCTAAAACAAACAATAATACCAAAACTCGAGCAACAAAACAACTACTACTGCTACGACACCCTTCCCACAACGGAAGCCTCATCAAACACAACAATGGCAGTCAAGGCCTAGGACCAATCCAGAAACTGCAAGAGGACGCCTAACTAGGTCGGGAAGCATCAGACTCAACCTTTATCCAAGCGGACAACGCCACAAGACCCCGCACCCCCGAAGACCACCCAGCTGTCAACACCGGCTCGAACCGCGAGTGCAACAACCCANCCCAAAACCATACATCTACAGCCGACTCCTCCGCTCGACGACCACGAATGCACCCCCGAAGAGCACCCGAGTGCAACTTTACCGGCTCGGACCTCGAGTGCACCCCTGAAGACCACCCGAACTGAGGAGAGAAGAATGGCCAAAGGCGGCGTCTACACCCCACTCCTAAATCGGAAAATTTGGCCGCAACCACCATTAAGAGGATGCCGGAGGACCGCTGCAGCGAAGATTCTGGTGAAAACGGCTGCGCACCACACCTTCCCGACACCAAATACGGCGA